ATAATGCAAAGTGAAATAAGTCAGAGGGAGAAGGTCAAATACCGTATGATTTCTTTCATTAAGTAGTAGATCATAACTACCTTAGTTCTTAATGTGATGCCAGAGTTCCAGGGCTTGAGGCAGAAACCTTAGTGTTTCCTTTGATTTCTCTCCCTCTGGGTCCTTTTATGTTTTCTAAAAAAACTGTCTCTGCAATTCCCTACTACCCGTCTGTCCACACTGCAGGCACCTGATCTAGTCCCTTATCACTTCAAACTTGATTTTCTCTTTTAGCCATTCTGCTTGCATATCTTGTCTTCATCTCTTCGTTCTCAAAATGTCCCACACGTTACTGGCTTCCTAGAACAAGTTTTTACAACATTAATCCTCTGTTTAGAAGCCAGCAATGATTCCATGTTCAGGCTGCTTTGCCTAGATTATGGGTATCCTTTCCTTACTTATAACAACTGAGTTTCCTGCTAAAAATGCGCTCTTTTCTCCAGTTAATGTTTTTATTACTTAATAACGTATTACTTCTGTGGAGCTTGCTAAGTGCCAGACCTGTTTGACATGCTTCACGTTCATTCTGCTGTTCCCACTTTTAAAAAGTTGACTGAAGGCTTGTAAACATTTGGTCGTTGCACTCACAGTCATGATTGATACTTAAGAAGTGCTTAATAAATACTTTCTTTTTCTGCACTGGACTCTTCCTTCCCACATGCCATCCTTAGTTCTACCCCCTTGCCTTTATTTATGGTGTTCCCTGTTCCTAGAATATGTTTTCTCTTTGGTATATCAATTCACATCCACTATCCAAATGCTACCTTGACTCATTTATTTCTCCCCGATCTTTCCTGTTGTAAAATCTTAACGTATTTGTAAGGAGTTCTGCATAGTTTATCATGTAATTATTCTCAATGTAATCAGTTTCATCTTTCAATTGTTCCAAAATTTTTAGCAGTGCTTTATGAGCATCAAATATTTGTTGAATGAATAAATCTCCCTCTGCCCCCCTTCTCAAGTAGACATTGACTTTCTGGAATGTGTAGCTTATGCCTTAGTTCTTTCTCTTCTCCACAAATCTCGGCAGTGTGCTTGATACCTATATAAATACCTAGTGATGGGTTATGGGAGAGAACAGGACTTGAATGGGAAAATATCTTCTCATAATGTGCACATAGATACATTTCAACCAAAAGAGCAATACAGTAAATTCAGATATAGAAGTGTATTAGGTAGCTAAATACAGGATGAGATTCATCTGTGTTTATTTGGAGATCTTACAAACTATAAGATTTGAGCACTTACTATAAGTAAGGCACTGAGCTAGGTGTTTTACATTTGTTATCTTAGTCCCCGGAACCAAGTTGTTGGGTAGGTGATGCAGTTGATGCTCAGAATGGTTAGATAGCAGATCATAAGCAAGAGAATCTAGTTTAAACCCAGGTATTCTTGATTTGAAATACATGGAATTAAGTGCTATACTGCGTATCATCTTGTTCAGCTTCATTATTGTTGGAGTTTTTACCAGTTGAGAAATATCTCCCTTTTTAATACATTAGATCATCCTTGTTTCCAGCAAAAAGTAAACATTCAGTAAATGTTAGCCTTTATTGTTACTGTTTTTCCAAATTACACTAAAGTGTTCACGACACTGTCTTTCCTCTTATGCAAACTTAACTTTAAAGGCAGAATCAGCTGTTTATTACTTCTGTAAAATCTGGAGAGAGAGATATGTGTGTGTGTGTGTTTGTATGTATTTGGGGTTTCATGAGGGCCAAGAGGATTTAGAGAGTGAAAATTAAAAGTGAGCTACTTTGCTACTGTTTTCAATCATCTCTCTCCAGCAAGATGCCTGCACAGTGTATCTGGAGGACTGCCTGTCTGAGCTCACAGATGGGAATTAGGTGATGGATGTCAGACCTATCTACAGTTGGCCCTCAATGTCTTGGAAAGGATTTTGAGTATTGATCTACTTTATATGTTTTTACAACACAGGATTTTAGGTCCTCTTTGCAATCTGTCATCTCATTTTTCTGCAAACTGGAGAAGGACAGAATCATGGAAGGCATTAACATTGTAGTTTTTTATTTTTGTGTATACTATCTCTGTGCATTTTGATTATGGAATTTAAGAAAACTTGACTAGAGAATAACCAGTTTAGTGAAAGTAAAACCCTTTAATTGAAATTTTAAAATTTTGATGTAATTTCAGACTTACAGAAAAGTTGTAAGAATAGTAAAGTGAACTTCCTTTAACCTATTTTAAAAGAGTTTAAAATAATTTTAAAATGTATATATATATATATTTTTTTTTGTGAGGAAGCTCAGCCCTGAGTTAACATCCGTGCTAATCCTCCTCTTTTTGCTGAGGAATACCGGCTCTGAGCTAACATCTATTGCCAATCCTTCTCCTTTTATTCCCCAAAGCTCCAGTAGATAGTTGTACGTCATAGTTGCACATCCTTCTAGTTGCTGTATGTGGGACGCGGCCTCAGCATGGCCGGAGAAGCGGTGCGTTGGTGCGCGCCCGGGATCCGAACCCGGGCCGCCAGTAGCGGAGCATGCACACTTAACCGCTAAGCCATGGGGCCGGCCCTAAAATATATGTTTAAAAGAAGTTTTTCTCTTCATCTTAGCATTTGCTAGCTATATAATAGATCATGTTGTTATCACAGTGGTAGAATAAATTATTTTGTTAACTTGCCCTACTTTTTTTTTCCTCGGCTTTACTGAGGTATAATCGACATATAACATTATGTAAGTTTACTATGTGCAACATGTTGATTCGATACATTTATATATTGCAAAATGATTACCACCATGACATTAGCTAACACCTCCATTCTGTCACATAAGTACCACTTCTTTTTGTTATGAGAACGTTTAAGATCCTATGTTTAATTTTAATGCTTTCTAAAGGTTTTTTTTAAATCAAGCTTTCTTTCCAGCCTAATGTTATCCTTAGAAATGTCTGTCTTCTGGCACCCTGTCCCTATTCCCCACACCTTGATCCCCCTCACAATGTTCTTACAGATTAGTAGATTTATCTGTTTTAAAGTTTGTCAGTCCCAATTTGGAGTTTGGGGCTAAAATATTGTTCATTGGAATGAAATCAGATACTATTTTAGCAGGGCTGGATATTATGAGAACATTTAGGCAAATCCCGAGTGTAAGGAATCTAATTAAATAGAGAAAAAAAATGAAACCTTATTTTATTTTGCAGCTGTAGAATTAAAACATTCTGGGGGCAAAATGGAAGTGCTTATGGTTCAATTTTAAAATGATGCTTGAACTGACTACATTAAACCAGTGTAATTAAAGGTATTTGTAAATTTAATATTTGATGTACTATTTCTTAGTTAAATCTTAGAATGTGAAATTTAAATATTCATACTAAGATCTCACCATGTGTACTTGTTTTCACATTATTGTTTGGATTGAGTGAAATAATTTGTGAAAACAACTTAATTATAAAGTAGAAAAAGACTATACAGGATGCGAGGTATTTTTATTTCATTTATAGAAACAAACGAGAACAAAAGCTGTTTATTTAAATAAGTTGAATAAAGGAACTGTCTTTTTTCAATATTGTTTGCATGAAATTATACAGAATTTAATGTATTTGCATTTTTAATTTCAGATTCAAAATGCTAATGATGTATTAATTGCGCCACTTGAGAAATTTCGCAAAGAACAGATAGGTGCAGCAAAAGTAAGTGTTACATTTTATTATTCTTCAGATATTCCCCTGATAATTAAAGATGACAATTTCAGATATTATCATTTTTGAAATTAGAATGACCTTTTAAAAATTCTGTACGTCATTTTTAACTTTTGCACAGAGCCTGTTACAAAGACTGGAATTCTTTTAAACATAAAAGATATTATTCTTCTACTGAAGAGAGAGAAAGCATGTTGTAACTGAGTTCCTCCCATCCCCCAAATTTTAGGAAATTAACTATTTTGAAGAGGGTGGAATTATGGTAAAATTATGAGGAGCTTTGTTCTTAACACCTATATAAAATAAAAATTAGGCACAGAATATATTGAAAATTCTGGCAGTAATTATAAAAGAACTTTTATTATTTTTTTTAAAATTTTTTTCATTATTAATAAAAGTGTGTTTTTGGAAAAACTTTAGACATATTTGTTAAACCTTTGCATTAATGTTTAATTGATTATGAACTGGTTAAAATTTCCCTGAACCTAATAATTTCTGAAACTTTCTTGCATCCTCTTTCTTAGATCCACATTTTACCTATCTGCTCAACATCATGTAAGGACGTAAAATTTAGAGTTTCCAAAACAGAATTCATCGTCTCTCATCCTTCCCCATCCTTTCTCTGTTTTGATTTTCCATTTTGTCAATGACATACCACTTCCCCAGTCAAGCAGTGCTGTCCATTCTACTGCAGAATTATTTCTCCTCTTTTGCTCCTTCCCTTCTGTCTGAAATATTGAAATAGCCTTCTAGTTGGTCTCCACACCTCCATCCTACTCTGTTAACAAATTTTTGCCATCTTTAATTTTCATTCTTTGATGAATCTTTCAATAGTTCTCCTTGAGAGACAGTTTAATCCTGATAATGAAAGCTTTCCACAACGTGTCCATTTGCTACATTTCAGTATACCTCCGTCACTGGGCACGTTGTCTTTTCGCGAGTCTCTCTATATACCCTGACTCTATCCATGGCTTTGCCCAAATTTTTCCCTCTCCTGGAATATTTCTTACCCTTCACTTGTTGAAGTCTTGTCAGCTCTCCATGGCTTATTTCATATCCCAGGACCAGAAAGAAACCTTTATATAGGCCTTCTCCTCATATATCTGTTCCCTTTCCAGAACTGATTTTTTCCTTCTCATAGAATCAAGTAGTCCATATGCTTATTTCCTGTAAAAAGCTATCACAGTCTGCCTTGAATTACAGATTTCTGTGCATTTCTCCACCAATTATGAGCAATTATCAAGTCAAGGACTAAACCAGAACCATTTTTGTGTTAATTAGTTCAACAAACATTTATCAATATCGTGGTTGGACCACTTGTGACAAACATGGTGTTTGATAAGATAAAGGGATACAATTGTAAACAAGATAGACATGCTCCCTGCACTGTGTCCCTTACTATCTTTTGTGGAAAACAGACACCAGAGTAATTACAAATGCACTGAGGATTGTGATGCAAAAGTGCAGGGTGCTTTGTGAGAGTATAATTAATGGAACTGACCTTGTCCCGAGAACCAGAAAACGCCATCTGGAGGAAGTATTGGTTAAGCAGAGAACTAAATGATGAGAAAGAAATAGCTAGAAATGGGGATACAGTGGTGGGAAGGGAAGAACTTGCCATACATTCCTGAAGAGGGAACAGAATGGGTACGAATAAAAGCCTTGAAGGAGGAAAGAACCTGGCATTTTAGAGGAAAAATATCTAATGTGTTTGGAGTATAGAGGACCATGGGGATGGAGGACATATGCACAGCTCTATTAATGATTCATAGTATTTTGCTTCTTTTTCTAAGAATACTGATAAGCCAAAAAAACGTTGTAGGTAGAGGAGTGATATTATATTTGCATTTTTAAATATCCCCCTAGTTGCCTGTCATGCATGGATTGGAGGAGACAAGATTGTTGGTGGGAAAACCAGTTTGCCAGCTATAGGATAGTGGCTTTAGATTCGGAAGGCAATAGTGGCTGTAGAGACAAAGGGAGGTATTTCAGAGGTAAAATGGAAAGGGTAGGAAATGGGTTACATACTGGGAAGTGAGGAACAGGACGTTTCAGGGAGGACTCCCAGGGTTCTGGGTTGCATAATTGGGTGGTTTTTAAAGCCACTTACTGAGATAGGCAAGGTTTATGTTTGGAGGGCAAAGATGATGAGTTTGGCTTTTAGATGTAATGAATGAACTTGAGCTTCATCTGAGACAGCCAAGTGGAGATGTTGAGTTGGCAAGTGTGCATTCAGATCTGAATTAGAAATATACATTTGGGAATTGTTGTACTCCAGGTGGTAATTAAAATCATGGGGGTAGATTAGATCCCCCCTGAGAAAGAATAGAGTGAGGAGAGGACCTGGGTCCTATATAATCTGAGAACTCTCACCATTTGATGTTTGGAGAGAGAAAAACAAGACAGTTAAGGAGGCTTAGAAGGAAGGGGCAGAAGGAAGAAAATAAGAATGTCGTTCCCCAAGCGAGGAAGAGTCTGTTCAAGAATAATAATAGCTGTTCTTTATTGACATATATATTGTAGAGTTTTCATTGAACTGTGACATCTGTGACCTAATTAAATCCTCACAAGCAACCTGTGAGGTGAGTACAGGTGTTACACCTGCTTTATAATGAGGAAATGAGGTGACTTGCACCAGATCACAGAGCTCGAAAGTCAGACCATGGATCTGAAATCAAGCCATTTTAACTTCAGAGCCTTGATTTACAATATTTCACTTCATCAATGATATTTTTGTAAAAGAACTTTGTGAAAAATTCTTTCTCTAGTACAGGATATTCCAGGTGTTCTGGCCCATCTAAAATAGTAAATTTTACTTGTGTATGGATTATTCTTATTTGAAGGTTTAGGTTAGCTACAGTTGCAGTAGAGTGAGCGATTACACCGATTTTATTTTATTTTCTTAATATCTCAGTTGCTGGACAGATCAACTGAGAGCACACAACAGTGTACCATGCCTTCGCCTACTCATTAGGAGGTTAAACGTGTGGTTAAATGAATTCAAATGAAATCTTGAACATAAAGATTATTGCACTTGGCCTTTTTTTGGTGGTGATTCTGTGTATTCTATCTGCCTGATGCTCTTAGTAGTAGATTGTTTGTAAGCTGCTAAGTAATCCTTGTTTAGTAAGGTGAATAAAAAACAGGCATTCTCTTCTGAAATGTACATATAGGTCAATTTCTTTTGGTATTGCGGAAACATCTTGGTAGGAATAAAAGTACTTGGAGGTGTTTGTTTTCTACTGCTTTACTCCATTTTACTTAAGTATTTTCTTACTTGGTAGATAAAGTTAATTCTACAAATGACACTTTGTCGCTCTTCAGTCTTGACAGTGGAGGTTTCCCACAGGTGTGTTCAGGCTGATGAGCCAGCTGGAAGGCAAGAGTGTCAGTTAAAAGTAGAATCTTCCACTGCAGTCAGTGACCTCCTCAGCTTGGTCCAAGTGGAAAATGCTGAGTCAAAGTGGCTGTCTCCTCACAACCAGATGATCCTATTCAACTGAAGTGGATAAAGTCCATGGACCACAAACATTTCCTTTGTACTGTGTTCTGTGGAGCTTCGAGACACCTGATACTTTACTGTGGAAAGTGAGGCCCTGAGTTGAGTTAGAGTTGTGGGAAAAAAGCACCGTGCATCTGTGAGAGGCGTTAGAAAAGATTAATGATGGGGTGGTTGAACTGAAGGACAGAGGCGATGGTTCCTGCTTTTTGAATAGCTAAAATTATCTGTAGACAGTTGTCGAGAATGTATTTATTTAAAGATTCGTAGTCTGATGGTATACGCAGAATGGCATTGTATTACAAACCTGACATTTTACATGTGTCAGAGTGTAGAACTGAGTGTTTGATTTCTTTAATTCTTCTCCTGATACACTGACGATTTAAATTCTAGAAGTGAGTGGAAAGTAGGTATTCAGAATGATTAATGCCAACTAGAATTTCTACAATATGGATATATCTAGAGCAGCATTATTTTAGAGCAAGATGAATTACAACTTTTTATACTTTTTGTGTAAATTGACAGCTATATTTCATTGATTTCATTGGAAATCTCCTTGACCCCAGAGACAATCAGTTGTGAGTTGTATCTGCACTTCCCACACTTGTTCCTACGTAAATTAGCTGACTCCGAAATATAGGTAGAACTCCATATCAGAGCTCCTAATCAAAGACAAATATATTATGGAGAAATATGTGTGTGTGTATAAACATATATATATACACCATACTGTTACATATTTTAAGAGATGGAACTGATTTTCGAGAGGCAAAGGGCTCATTTTCTGCACATAAGCAATCTGAACAGCCAGTTGGCACAGCGAGTTCTGGAACTCAGTTCCTCAGACCAGCAGTCTTTCAGCTCCTCCGTGCTGCTGTTTAGAATGCTCTTTTGTGAAATATTTTTTCTTTACCTTTAGCAAACACATAATTTAGTGTGAAATCTATCTTAACTATAAAAATGTTTTAAATATGCCCAAACTTGCCCACTTTGAATCAAGCCTAATTAATATATTTCCTTTGACTTTTAAAATTACCTCAGCATGTAGTAGGCACTTACCACTGACTTGTTTCTTTAGAGATAAGAGACTTGAGAAATACTGTCTGTAAAAATTAAAAGATACATTTTCGGGGCTGGCCCGGTGGCGTAAGCCGTTAAGTGCACGCGCTCTGCTGCGGGGGCCTGGACCTCGCAGGTTCGGACCCGGGCATGCACCAACGCACGACTTGTCAAGCCATGCTGTGGCGGCATCCCATATAAAGTGGAGGAAGATGGGCATGGATGTTAGCCCAAGGCCAGTCTTCCTCAGCAAAAAAAAAAAAAAAAAAAGGAGGATTAGCAGATGTTAGCACAGGGCTGATCTTCCTCACAGGGAAAAAAAGGTATATTTTCATTTCTATGGGAAATGTTTTTCAAGACTGGTTTTCATTTTTAATTAGACCTTAATAGAAATCATATGAACATCCTTCTATGGTTTTAATAGAAAAATAAA